TACTCCCTCCCCTGAAATATAGATACATAATATGATTTCACCCAGTATTACAAGTTAATCAGGTTCTTTTGGCAGAATGCTGTAGAAACACTTGTGAAATGAATGTTCAGGTATATTTTAATCATTGTATTCTCAGTTGTATATTGTATCATGGCTACTTTATGGATCTTATTATATCTGGGTTTTATGCTAAGGTGATAGGATATATGTCTTCTGATTTACATTAAGTTGGAACTGGCACCACTTTGAAGGTGGTAAAAGTACTGTCTCCTAAGATTTCCATCTGTTTCCTTTTCTGAGTAATCTCCGAGTACCTATTGAAAAATTTCTCATTGGTCCTGATGACCAGTATATAGTTTATGCTATGCTATTATTATTAAATATTAATTTGAGATGCTGTCATATTAAGTAAATACTTAAGATGATACACATAAACAAATACCTTTGAGCCCTAATTATTTCTTTTCTATTAGACAGATAAAGAAGAGGGCAGGACAGGAAGGCAAAAACAGATATTATTTAAAAAAAAAAAAAAAAAAAGTGACCAGAAATGGTGCAGCTGCTTTGGAAAACAGTCTGGCAGTTTTTTTGTTTGTTTGTTTTGGTTTGTTTTTAAGTTAAACATAAAGTTACCATGTGACCCAACAATTCTACTGCTAGGGATATACTGAAGAGCACTGAAAGATTATGTTCACACGAAAACTTGTATAGGAATATTCATGGTATCATTAATCATAATAGCCAAATGTCCATCAACTGTTGAATGGATAAGCAAAGTATGGGATATCCATACTATGAATATTATTCAGCTATTAAAAGGAATAAAGTACTGATACATGTTACAAAATGGACAATCCTTGGAAATGTGCTAAATGAAAGAAGGCAGTCATGAAAGACCATATATCGTATGATTCCATTTGTATGAAATGTCCAGAATAGGCAAATCCACAGAGACAGAAAGCAGATCAGTGGTTACCAGGGCACAGGGGAGGGGGGAATGGGGAGTGACTGCTAATGGTACAGGGTTTCTTTTTGAGTGATAAAAATATTCTGAAATTAGGTAGTGGTGATGATTGTACAACTTTGTGAATATACTAAAAACCACTGAATTATACACTTTAAAAGAGAAAATTTTATGATATATGAATTATTTATCTATTAAAAAAATTTGACGAAAGAGATTCCTTACATGTGTGAAATACCACTTCGAAAAATCTTATTTGTGTATAGCTGAAATATAAACACTTTGCTTTTCAAATAATAGTTAAATCTTATAAATCTTTTATCTGTTCTTCAAATAAATGGTCTGCATACTATGCGAAAATAGGTAGACAACTGATTTACAAAATGCACTTTGTATAAAAGAATTTTTTTTAAGAAAACAAACAAAACCTGTCACTTTCTATATCTCTGTCTCCTACAAGAATTAGAGAGAGAGAGCATGCGCCCTGGTGGCATAGTGGTTAAGAGCTGTGGCTGCTAACGAAAAGGCCAGCAGTTTGAATCTACCAGTCGCTCCTTGGAAACCCTATGGGGCAGTTCTGTTCTGTCCTATAGGGTCACTATGAGTTGAAATTGACAGTAACAGTTTTGTTTTTATGTATATATGTGAGTGTATATATGTATTTATTATATTTATATGATATACAAATATATATTATATTTATGATATAAATATATTTTATATAATATACATAAATATGTTATATATTTATAGATATAAATCATGAATACACACATGTAAATAATATGTTGTTGTTAGATGCTGTCAAGTCAGTTTTAACTCATAGCAACCCTGTGTACAACAGAAGGAAACGTTGCCTGGTCCTGCACTATCATCACAATCGTTGCTATGTTTGAGCCCATTATTGCAGCCACTGTGTCAGTCCATCTGCTTGAGGGTCTTTCTCTTTTTCACTGACCCTGATATCCTTCTTCAGAGACTGGTCCCTTCTGAAAACATGTCCAAAGTAAGTGAGACAAAATCTCATCACCCTCACTTCTAAGGGGCATTCTGGCTGTACTTCTTCCAAGACAAAAGTGTTTGTTCTTCTTGAAGTCCATGATTCACCGCCCCCGCACCCACCCAGTTGCAGTAATCATAAATCTTCACCCTTAAATACTTTAGGATGTATTTCCAAAGAACAAGTATATTCTCTCACATGACCAAAATACAACGATCAAATTCAGGAAAGTTAACATTCATATAATACAATTGTCTATACAGCCTGTATTAAAATTTTGCCAATTTCCCCAATACTGATCTTTATAGTAAGGAGCCCTGGTGACACAGTGGTTAAACACTAGGCTGCTAACCAAACGTGATTTGAACCCACCAGCCACTCTGGGAGAAAGATGTGGCAGTCTGCGTCCATAAAGATTAACCAAAAAAAACCCAAGCCCACTGCCGTTGAGTTGATTCCAACTCTTAGAAACCCTGTAGGACAGGGAAGACCCATAGGGTTTCCAAGGAGCAGCTGGTGGATTCGAACTGCTGACCTTTTGGTTAGCAGCCAAATGCTTAACAAGTGTACCACCACGACTCCTGTAAAGATTACAGCCATGGAGACGCTATGGGGCAGTTCTACCCTGTCCTACAGGGTCACTGAGTCGGAATTGACTCAACGGCAATGGGTTTGGATTTGGTTTGGTTCTTTATAGTCACTTGTTTTCCAAATCCAACACCACATACTGTGTTCGGTTTTCATGTCCCTTTAGTTTCCTTTATATAGAAGAGTTCCTCATCCTTTCTTTGTTTTTCATGGTGTTGATGTTTTTGCAAGGTTCAGTTTTTTGTTTTTTGTTTTACAAGGTCCCTCAATTTGGCTTTGTGTTACAGTTTCTTCATGATATGATTCAGGTTATGTACTTTTTTAAAGAATACTTCTTAAATGATGTTGTAGCCTTCTCACAGAATATTATGAGAATGTACCAGATGTTGATTTTTTCCATTATTGATAACATTAACTTTGATCACATGGTTAATGTGCTGTCCCCCAGATTTCTCCAGTATAAAAGTACCTTTTTCTTTGTTGCACTTAATGAATAATCTGTGAGGAGATACTTTGAAAATATATAAATATCCTGTTTCCTAACATCTTTTCATTGTGGCTTTTGTGTCCATTGACAATTCTTGCCTGCATTAATTATTACTGTTTTAATTTTGCAAAGGAGTCCTGGTTCCTTTTTAAAAGGGATGGTGTTTAGAAACCATGATCTGAATGCTAGGTGTTATTGCTTCTGGACTCTTTCAGTGGACAGAGCTAGGAAATAAGGTTTTTGTGTTGTTGTTTTTTTTAATATCATACATTCATACTGTTCTCTCATTTAGATTTAATATCACTCAGGTTTTTGTTGTTTTTTTTCTTGCCTTCCCACATTTCATATTTATATCTCTGTTCTCCCACACTGAGAACCCTGGCTCCTAAAAATATCAAAATATGTACTTGTATTGCCAACCTTAAAATATACATGAAATAGTTTCATAATTGCTACACATGTGTCATTACCAACAACAAACTTACAAAGATACAAGTTTTTTTGTGGTTCTTTTGTTTTCAGGCTGAAATTATGTAGTATTGTGTTCTTAATTACTTAGGTTGCTTGTCTCTCTCTCTCTTTCACCCTTCTACCTGTTATATTATGTTATCCATTTGATATACCATTTAGTTCATTTGTTTCTGTTGGTATTCAGTTTCAGAGTCTCTTCCTTTATCCTTTTGGGCTAGTTTTATTTTTTTAATATGCAATACTTCAATATAATTTTTATAAGTAAAAACTATACAGAAATGATACTTAGATAGGTCTCTAATGGATAGGCTCTTCCGCTATCTATTCTACCTTGTTCCTCCCACATCCTATAGGTAACCAATTTAGTTTCTTGCTTACCCTTCCTGTGTTTCCATTTGTAAATATAAGCAGATACATGTATATTTTTTTATTTTGTTATATTTTTACACAGAAGGTAATATACTACATATCAGTGCTTCTCAACTGGGCATGATTTTGTCCCCCACATGACATTTGGCAATACCTGGATACATTTTTGGCCGTCACCGCTGGAGAGGGTGCTACTAGCATCTAGGGGATAGAAACCAGGGTTGCTGACAACCATCCTACAATGCGTAGGCTAGCCCTTGACAACAATGAATTATTGAGCTCAGTATATCAATAGTGCTGCTGTTGAGAAACCCTGCTACAATCTTTCTTTGCACTTTGCCTTTTGGCTTAACAATATATCATGGAAATCATTCCATATCAGTTCATAGAGATTGTCTTCATTCCTTTTTACAGCTGCATAGTGAATGTACTATAGTTTGTTCAGTCGATCTTCTATGTGTGAGCAGTTAGGTTGTTTTCAGTATTTTGCAATTACAAATAATGCTGCAGTGGATAGGCTTATATATATTTTTGCAAGTATATCTTCAGGGTAAATTCCTAGAAGGGCATCAAAGTGCAAATGATAATGTTGTTTTTCCAAGTCTCTGAATGGGTTGTACCATTTTGCATTTTCATCTTTGTATGAGAGCGCATGTTTCCCCAGGGGCCTGTTTGCTGAGTGAGTTAAAAGCTGTTGAATTTTTGCCCATCTGATAAGAAACTCAGTACAGTCTTAATTTGTATTTCTCTTTTTATGAATGGTATTTTTGTTTTGTTTTGTTTGTTTACATTGCTAATTCAAATCCCAAACTTTATTTAAGCTAAATAATTTTAAATAAAGTACAAAAGCAATGTGTAGCAAATACAATGAAAGAAAGTATGTATTTATCTGCTGAAAATGTCAAACTTCTCCTGTGGCTATGTCTCAATAAAGTTTTACATAAACACAACAGAGTATTATCCTACAGTGCCTGAGAAAGACATGCTCATCACCAGGTAACAAATGTTCTACAAATATGATGTTTAAGGTCTTGTCTGAAGTTTTCAGACCACCAGGTTGTCACACTGAGCAAGCAAAAATAACTTTGCACTAGGATGATTGTGTACATGGTGTTTTACAGGCCATACATGTCGCTTGGAAGTCTTCGGGATCAAGTCATTTATCCAGATACAGTGGATGAAATGCATGATAAAGGCTATACAGACCAAGATCTAGAATGTATTCTGCACAATGTCCATCTCTATCACATAGTTCAAAGAGAAGGAGGTAAAGCCTATCTATGATTCATTTTTTATACCTTTAACTTCTTTTTTAAAAAATTAACTGGGGTAAATGTTTGGTCAGTGGCTTAATTGGGAAAATATTTTATTATTGGAATATAAGCAGCCAAGTAAAGATAGAGTTTATGTGTTTAGGACCCCTGGTAGGGCATTGTTTAAAGCACTTGGCTGCTAACCAGAAGGTTGGCAGTTGGAACCCATCAGCTGCCCTGCAGGAGAAAGATGTGGCACTCTGCGTCACTAAAGATTTATAGCCTTGGAAACCCTATGGGGCAGTTCTACTCTATATAGGGTCCTATAAGGTATTCTAGGTTGAATAGTCTTGAGAAAACTTCTGTGATTGTGTAACAGATAAATAAATGATTGAATGAATGAGAAAGATAAGTGTATAAATAAATAATAAAAGTTAGCATTAATAAATGTGATACAGGGCTTCAAGTAAAGTGCTCCGTAAGCATAAAAGAGGAGCCCTGGTGGTGCGGTGGTTAAAACACTTGACTGCTAGTCGAATGGTTGACAGTTTGGAACCACCATTGGCTCAGCAAGAGAAAGATGTGGCAGTCAGCTTCTGTAGAGATTTATAGCCTTGAAAACCCTATGGGGTTACTATGAGTTGGAATTGACTCAACAGCAGTGGGTTTGATTATGAGTTTTATTGCTTCTCCATTATTGATACTCTCTTTTCTACTTGTTTTGTATTATGCAGCACACTAGGCTTTTATCAAGTCCCCACATCACTACAACTAACATCTGAAAAAGGGGAAGGTTTAATTTATTTTCATATTTGAACATACAGGTGTCCTTGAGGCCACTGTCAATCTAGACATATATAAAGCTTGTGACAGAAATATTTGTCTGTCAAGCTCTCTGCTTACCTTAAACATAATAATTTGAAAAGTACATGTTACAGAACTTTTGGGTTTTTTTTGGATCCATAATCTTACCAATACATTTTTTTTTTTTTTTTTTTTGGTCTCTCCCAGTTAGTTCATTAGATAAAGTACAGAAACTTCTGCATTTTGGTTTTTTGGAATAAGACATTTTTGAAGGAGTGGCAAGAACATTTATGCTTTTGAGCTTTAAAAAAAAAATTGTCTTCTGATAGTCACACTTTCAAATAATTTGATAACTCATATAACTTGATAGCCTAGAAAAACTACTGAAATATCAAGCTAGAATTCCAGGTTGAATTTTGCATGGATTTTATGTTCTATTTCCCATGCCAGTTGCATTGTCAGAAGTCCACATGATCGAAATTGTGGGCTTTGGAGTCAGAGAGGACTAGAATTGCATCATAGCAGTGCTGTTTGTATCTTCATCTGTAAAATGGGGATAAATTTCTACCTTATAAGGTTTTTGTGAAGATTGAGTAAGACTTTGTAAAGCAGTTAGCACAGTGGCACAATAATTAGTGAATGCACAAGAATTAGTAGCTAATGGCATTATTAGTAGTTCTCACAGTGGTGATGGTACTTGGTATTTACATAGCAGTTTCATATACATTATTTCATTTGATCCTTGCAAATAAGCAAATGAGACAGGCAAGAGAGGCATTATTATATTTGTATTAATGATGTTTGTAATTCCTTCTAAATATGGAAAGCAGGTTGCCTTTTTGTTCCATATGGTCAGCTCCTTCCCAGTTGCAAAACATTGGCAGAGTAAATGTTGCATGTTTATCTTGGGTAAGTTATTTTGGGTTTGAAATCCAATAATCCAAATAGAAATTTATAACCAACTAGAATATTCTATTTTTGTGTAAGTTGTTAAGAAGTTGTAGAACTGTTTTTAAGAATGTTTCAACCTTAGTATTATAATAGTCATTGTTATGGCTTATTGAGTGCTTACTATGTAGAATATACAATACAGTTTATAAATATCATATTATTTAATACAATAGTCCAGTAATGTAGGTATTACTATCCCCATTTTACAGATGAAATTCAGAAGTTCAGTAACTTACCCAGGGTCCTACAGCAAGTGATGTGACAGAGATTCAAACACAGACCTGACTTGAAAGCTAGTGTTCTATCCTGTGCCATGCCACTGTGCTATACTGTCTCCTAGCTTCTTAGACACTGATAATAACTGTTATATCCTTACATATTTAAAAATCCCAAGGAAACCCATTTTACTTGCTTAATCCTTAAAATCTGAAATATTTAAGTGAAGCAGAAAAGCACTTAAATCTGCAAGTGGCTAACTTACTTTGGAAGAAGCCTACTGAAATTCTATTTAGACTGTCTAATGCTTGACTTGGTGAAATGCTTTGTTAGTCAAAGATGAAATTAAAAACTACATTGCCATTCCATCAAACAGGCTACAGAACATAAAGGAGTAAGAAGGGTTACCAAACTAAAACAATCCGTGTGTCTCTCGGAAGCTGGAAAATAACTCCCTTCTTAGCTGATTTACTCTCACTAAATCAGCATCAGAGGCAATATTATGACTCAGAGTTCTAATTTTATGTGTTCCGTGATCATGCAGTATTGCCTACTAAAAACCGTTGGGTTTAGTATAAAAAGGGACACGATTTTTTAAAATATAATATGTTAAAGTATCCTTTAACCCAAATAATTTTCTCTTATGCCTTGTTCTCAGTGGGCAAGATTAAGCCAAGAATATTTCTCCACTATTTAGCAGTCTGAACCTATTTTTAAAATCCCTGCTTATACTTTATAAATGCCACAAAATTCAACCACAGAGAAAATTTTATTTCAACAGTTTTCCCTAGAAGCAAGAACTTTAAATCAGATGGCGTTTTGAGTTTTTTTCCAAATAAACAATTATAAGGAAATGTTTTTAAATAGATAGGAAATTCCTGGAAGTTTGCCCAGAAATAATAACAGTGGCCTTCTCTGTGGATTGGGATTGGAGATGTTAATGAGAACTAAGGGATGTTTTCTTTTTACTCGATTTTTTGATATAGATAATATTTAATATGTTGTATTACTTTCATTATATTTCTTATTTAATTTTTGGAATAGGTAACACTTTCACATAATTTATAAATAGAATGTATTTTTTTTAGTTCTGAAAAAAAAATCCCCTTACTGTTTTTGTTTCCTCCTATCCAATTATTGACTACCCCTCAATAATAACCACTGTTTTTAGTTTATTGTTTTACTTAGATTTTTTTTATGCAACGTATTTTGTAATGATAATCTTTAAAGGAAGATGATAAGAAACATAAGATACATTTTGTGTTTAATAATTAGCATATATTATTCTAATATATGCTAATTATGAGAGGCATATACTTTTGCTGTGAACTTTGGTTGTTAGAAGAAAAAATTCACTTTCCGTCTAAGCAGCAAAAGAATCAAATAATCAGTTTGTTGATTTGACTTTTCAGATATCCAGTGCACATGAACAATGAAGACTCTATTTCCTGTTTTCTTTCCCTCTAACCAATTTTATTTAAAAGCTTTAATCATGGTGAAAATTTAGCGGAGGGAAAAAGAAGAGGGCAAAGAGCCTGGATTTTTCCAAAGTGGGGCGTTACGTGCAAAATACTTAAGATTTGGAAATTCTGCCCTAAGTGCTTGTCATATTTTGGCAGTCATTTTCCTCTTTGTAAATCAGACTTTGCTTAGTCTTCTGTTTTCCCACCTCACAAAAATATTTGGTATGGCCTTCTTTCTAATTGGTCCTGTGGTTTTGCTTTTGTATAAACTTCTTTTTTCCTAATTACAAAAGTAAGATCTACTTATTATAAAAATTTTCAAACATTATAAAAATGTGTAACTTATAAAGTAAAAGTCTGATAATTCTACCCATGTATGTGTTTATTTATAGAACTGCATCCGTAATACACATACAGTTCTGCAACTTGGTTTTTCATATAAAACTTTCTTGGCTACGTTTCCATATTGGTGTGTATAGATCCAACCCATTTTTTAAAAATAGAAGCCTTGCTTTTTGAATAAATTCCAACAAAAGGTCAGTAGTTAGGATGTTACAGGAGATGGCATAGATAAATTATAAAAACATCAGATAGGCCTAGATATAAATCCTAGCTGTGTAAACTTACACGTGTCAATTACTCCATGTATTTCAATTTACTTACCAGTGAAACACAGGTAATAGTGTCTGTCTCATAAGGCTGTTGAATATATAATGAAAAAACCCAGGTAAAGAGCCAAGCATACCTGGGAGCCATGTTGAGTTAGTTCCTGTCTTATCCTATGTAGACCTTGCAATTGACCTAGGTAATTTTGTTGTTTTTTTTTCTCCCACCTACCTACCCTTTGGAGATAACTGAAAAAAAGTATTCTCATTACACTGATCCAACAAGTCTGATATTTTGCCACGCTTAATTCATCTCTTTCTGAAGTATTTTAAAGCAAATCCCAGACATTATCCCCAATATCAGTATTTAGAGTTCTTAGATGATTTGTCAGTATAAGGAATTATTACCATTAAGAGAATATCAAACATAAAAACAAAATACGTATACGTGAAGCTCTCTAGTTTATCCAAGCATATTTTTTGCAAAATATCAGGTTCTTTATGTTAATGGGGCCCTGGTGGTGCAGTGGTTAAGAGCTCAGCTGCTAACCAAAAGGTCGGCAGTTCAAATCCACCAGCCACTCCATGGAAACCCTATGGGGCAGTTCTACTTGTCCTATAGGGTCACTATGAGTCGGAATAGACTCACTGGCAACAGGTTTGTTTTTTTGTTTTGTTTTGTGTTAATAATTTAAACTTGTTAGGAGCCACTTGTCCAAGGTAGGAACAGTAATATTTAAATGATTTATAATTTTTTAAAAATATTTTTAAGGATGGGATGCTGTTATGGACTGGAAAGATGTCCTGTCAGGAGGGGAAAAGCAAAGAATGGGCATGGCTCGCATGTTTTATCATAGGTAAGTATGCTTTACTCAGGTAACTACTATTTTATTGTTGGAAACAAAAAACCTTTGGATGGGATTGTAATGTCCCAATCTTTAGTTAAAAAATATCTTACTGAAGAACTAATGGCATAGAGTTTACAGTTTTAAATTTCTTTTTTCATGTGGCTGAAATCTCCAAATGTTTTATTTTTTCTATTTTATGTTGAGTAACATTAGATAAAATAATATAGAGAAAGCTAAATTAATTTTTTACATATTGCTAATTTTAAAATGTGAAGAATACGTAACTGCTACTATTCGGGTGTGAACACAGTTAAGTGGGCATTCAGTAACACTTCTGAATTAAATCATTAAATTCAAACTGAATTAACTTTTCAACCACTCAGTAGCCGTTTACAAAAGTAGTGCTCTCCCTCTTGAAAAATGAGAGACATAATCCAATGGGAAAAGGAACCAGCCAGTGTAGGTCTTAATGGGCTCAGAAAAATCAATATGCAGGAAATATTTCCTCTTGATAAAGTTTTTCTCTTCTTTTTGCTGTTAGCTTTGTAGCATTTTGAATTTAGGATACCAAACACAAGACACTGGAAGGAAATATTAAAGCTATTGTGATTTATTTCTTCTGTTATTTGTCTTACTGCTTTTCTGAAAAAGAAATCTCTTGTTATTATTATTTTTAATCTTAGGCGTCTGGCAATGAGAACTAGAGTTGTGTGCAGAGCAAGAGGTTATCAGGAACTATGTTGCTCACTTTTAGTATTTACACCTCAGGCAAAAAGGACCAATAGTTATGCACATGATACATGAATGGGCCATAAGCTGGACAGATGCAACACTCTTGAGTGAGCTGCAGTGAAAGTATTAACACTTTTAAAAGCTGATAAAGAAAAAAAGAGCAAATGAACCTTGTTATATACTTAGCATCTAAGCTGGTCCACACTTGGCAAATAATTGGCTATCAATTTTTTAGAATAACTTTTATTATGGAAAAAAGAGAAAATTTCATCAAAGTAGAGGAAATAATAAAATGAACCCCATACTCCCTTCAGACTGATTCAATAAGTCTGATATTTGCTACACTTGATTTATCAATTTATTTTTTTATTTCTGATGTATTTTTAAATATTTTAAAGCATCCTAGACATCATGACATTTTATCCTTAAATACTATGGTGCTCATCGCTGAAATATTAGTGCATTTTCTTACATAATAACAAACCATAATCATACCTAATAAAAATAATAATTCTTTAAAATCGTACAATATGTGGTTCATATTTAAAGTTTCCCTGGTTGTCTCAAAAATATCATAATTGATTTGTTCAAGATCTAAACAGGTTTCACATATTGCATTTAGTTGTTTTATCTTTTAATTGTCTTTTTATCTAAAGAGCTTCTCCCTCTCCCACTCTCATTCCTGCTTTTTATGCCATTGACTTGTTTAAAAAACCAACTCACTTGCCCTATAGAATGTTGCTCATTCTAAATTTGTCTGATGGCTTCCTCATGGAGTCCTTTACCTTATTCCTCAATCTCACATAAAACCTGTTGTGGTGTGATTAATTACTTTTGCATGTGGCCTTTTTAGCCTTGGTCTTGTGACTCCCACCCAAGTGATTGTGTGATAGGGTAGTTGTGGCCTATCAAGGGGATTGGTCAGTTTTACCTTAAAAGAGAGCCAGTTCCAGAGCAGAGAAGGAAAGCCCACCACCACTACCACAGAATGAGAGACCCACAGCAGACAGCGCAGGGGGTTCCCAGCCCACGGAGTTAGAAAGCTGAGTGCCTTTAGGCAGAGACTGAGGACCAGGGAGAAGTCTACGCCTGACCCACGTATTTGGGACTTGCTAGCCTCCACAACCGTGTAAGCCATTTCCTTTATATGGTTCGTGAGTTCTGTGAGACGTTGCAGCGAGTTAGGGAACCCAAAGACGGGAGAGATTAGTTGATATTAGAGATGATGGAGTGGTACAGCAGCTTGGAAAAATTAGACATTTGGGACATCTTTAACCTCCACCTCATAGGAACCAGCTTTGTGCTGATCCTTATAAAAGAAATTATTCGTTTAACTGTAAACTGGAAATTAGAGCTAAAATCTTGATTAGATTTAGGGTTAGCCTTTTTGATAAGAATATAACATAATATTTATCATTACAAAATTATCATTTAAATAATTTTACTCAAATATAATAATATGTTCATTCTATAAAGGTAGAAAATGTAGGAAGTAAAAAGAAGAAAACATTCTGTTATCTCATTACCTATATACAGTCACTTTTAAAATTTTGAAATCATTTCTCCCCAGGCTTGTTGGTACACAAAAATTGGTTATCTTAATTTTTTATTGTAGCTATTTCCACAAAGTATATTGTAATTTATATCCCTCTTTTTTATGTCTGTACTATTATGTGCATTTTCTGTATTATTATATAGTAGGTAGCCAGGGTTTTATTTTTTATTGAGGTAAAACTTATGTACCAAATGCACACATCTTAAGTACATGAGTCAGTGACTTTTGATAAATGTATATACCCTATGTAACTAATGCTGCAATTTAGAGAGAATGTTTCTGTTACCCCAGAAAATTTCCTCATGCGCCTTTCCAATCATGTCCCTCCAGAGGCAAATTCTGTTCTGAATTTTATCACCATTAATTAGTTTTGCCTTTTTTACAATGGCACATAAATGGAATTATACAGTCTGTATTCTGTCTAGGGGGGATTTTTTAATCAGAAATTTATTGTGTTAATAACTTGTTATTTGTAAGAATGTGCCTGGTTAATTGAAGAATATGATTAACTAAAAAAATGAATCTGTGTTAACTCATTAGTGAATGTATTTTGGAATGCTCCTTTCTCAGATGATATGGTGTAAGATTCAAGAGAAAACTTTACAGCTTGACATTTATGACCAGCTGTTACCCACTGTAACCCTGAATCTGTTTGAGTCTCGTCCATAAACATTCAGTAATATGATCCCCAGCATAGTTGGTGAAATATAATATGGTGGAATGTAAAATGTGACCATAAATTTCCCACTGTGTCATTGTGTTAATAAAATAAACTTTGTATAAAGAATAAGAAGCATTAATAAAAGATGACAACTCAAGAAGATTTCACATACCTGTAACTTAAAATAGTTATTTATATATCTAAAATATTTTGGATATAACATGAAACTGAGTTAAGATCAAGTCATGAGAAAGTAGATCTTTATAGATCAGTGGAAAGAAAATCTAGTGAACCATAGAAAGATCAGTGAAGATGAGCAAGTAGTTGGAAAACAGAATCTATTGAGAAAAGATAAAAGGAATTAGAAATAATAAATCCAGTGAAGGAAAAGTGTAATAATGAGAAACTGCCTTCTGTCATCCTCAAAAGAATTAAATTCACAAAGGTTTGAACTGTAATGTGAAAGACTTGAGGTAGCTAAAATGGAGAACTTTGGTAGAGTATTAAATATCACAATTGGGTATTCTTTTTGAGAGGTTTGTAATTTTAATATTTAAAGAATGATTGGAAAAGTCCTGCCTTAAGGGGGATGGATTAGGTCTTTCACAAGGCCCACTCTACTGGTGATATACCAAGGACAAAGGAAAGAAAATCTGAGAAACAGTATTATCTAATATTTTATTTAGTTATCAGTTTTAGATTCTAGCTATTGCTTAATATATTTATAAATACACCACACACACACACACCAGTCCACCCAAGGAAACAGAAGTGTGTGATCTATCTTACATCTGCTAGTCTAGGGGTTGCTATGACAACAGAGTGTAAGATGTATTTTTTCTAATTCTAAAATGACATCTCTGTTCTGTTTAGCACATGGGGTTGCTATGACAACAG